GCGATCGCCTCGAATCGAATTTTCTTCTTTTTCGACGAGTCGACTCGTTCGCCCACAGGGCTATTACGGGAACCTACGGTCGATCCTGAGCACCCACGAACGCGTACGTGTACGTGCGTACACGTGTACCTACACGCGTGGAAACAAGCGAGTACCGGAGCGCGGCGCGGCGACCCGGTTTCCAGGAAGACGACCAAAGGACGAGAGGGACGGGACGCGGTCGGGAACAGGAAGAAGGACGAAGAGCCGAGAGAACGAGAAACGCGGGGACCAGCGCGGCGACGACGATTAGATTAGAGAAGAAACTCGAACGTCTGCCGAGATGGAGTCCGTCGGCCGGCGATTCCGTGTTCGCGCGACCCCAACGGAGATCTATCGTCCTTTCGACGATCTCGAGACGATCTCGAGACGAGAGACGACGTCGGAAGCGTTATTTTCGAATCGCGCGTAATTTACCTCCGACTCGGTAGACCGTCGATATGTAAATGCGTTAATGCTTAATGCGTGTCGGTTGATTTATCGTCGCGCGATCAGGGTTGCGCGAGTGAAAGGCGAGCGCGCGCGCGCCAACGCAACCTTCTGCGGAGTCGAGCGTCGAGAAAACTTTGACCCTGTTCGACGCGTACTCGAATCGTCCTACGACTCGATCATCGGGGAAAATAATCTCGTCCCGCGTCCTCTCGACGAGGCAACCGACGACTTCCGATCTCTCTTTCGCTGACCGATCGAGTCGTCGAGAGTTGTCGAGTTAATTGGTCTAGCAGCAGCGGCTCGTCGTCGAGAGGATCGGCGGAGAGAGAGAGAATGAAAAAAATCGGAAAACAAAACCAGCGACTAAACAAAACCGGAGGCGAGCGATACCGTGCGATCATCGCGAGCCTCGCTTTTTCCTGGAAGCGGCTGCTCGCTCGTTCGTTCGTCGAGATAATTTTCGTCCCGCGGCAGGACCGGCTCTTCTCTCTTCCCTGTCCGACTCGTTCGTCCTGTCCACTCTTCTCCACCCTTTTGCCTTCTCGCTCTCCGCGCGCGATTTCTCGACGCGTTTTAGCTTCTTCTCCTGTTCTCGACTCCACCGCCTCGCTTTCCAGCTTTCGGCGATCTTTCGCCCTTTCCGTCGACTATCGCCTCCGCTTCGTCTCTTTATTCGCTACGAATTCTTTCTACCCTCGTCGATCTCGCAACGGATGCCGCGAGAAGAGATATCGCGTGGCAACGTAACACGCGGTCGAAGGAAAAATTTGGCAACGAAAAGCGAGTAGTCGACCGACGATTCGGGCTCGTCGTTTGCGAGCGTTTCGACTAATTCTCGAAATGGAAAAGTTCGGTATTCGGAAGGGGGTGGCGGCGGGGTAAACATGCGAGGGTGCATGCGAGAGGCGGCGAAGAGGCAGGAGGGAACGGCAGAAAGAAGGCAGGGCAGAAAAGGAGAACCGTGGAAGGTCCCGGGTCCCCTTTAACGCGAACAACTTCCGGTGTTACGATAACTATCGGCTCGCAGGGGTTCCTACCTGGCACGCTACGTCCGGCTTTCCGATAGGGGAATCGCCGCGTTTCGCTCGCTCGGAACGTTCCTCGTCCAGATGACGCGCGTTCGACTCTCCGCGATCGCGACGAGTCTTTGCGAAAGAAACGAGGTGCAAGCGATTTTCGCGTGGAAGCGGAAGAGGGATTTCCGCGGGCATCGAGAAGCTCGCGGTTCGCTCGTGGCCGCGGCTTATCCGCGCTCGATCTTCTCGGACGTTATATAAGGTTGGCGGACGCGACAGGGAGAACCCGGGGGGATCTCGGGGCAGCGTCGAATAAAAAACGCTTTATGAAAATTGGCCGGCGAGCGAAGC